GCCATACCATACATAAGTTAAATTACATTGGTTTTATTTTCACTCCAGCTGTTGGGACCAAGTCTCTTTTTGGATCCATAGAGTAAAACCTGGTCTTGTTTTTAGATAGTTTTTGATTCTGGAGTCAACAAAGTGTCAGTAGATCTAATTCAAACCTTTGTGCATATGTTTATTTAGCATTCATTTTATTTTCAGCTGAAAATCATGCTGATCGAGTATACAGAAAATAGCCAGTAAAGGCCTTCACATACAGAATTGTTAATATAGCATTTTATAGAAGAAACATTTAGAACTTTCCTATTTACAGGACAACAGTAAGAAAAAGTGCTTGGATGCATTGACGTTAAGACAAATATAGTGAAAGAAGTTAATGAAATACACCTGCTGGACTACAACTAACCATTGTGTGGTTACATCACTGGATCTACAAAGAGGGATTTCAGACTAACTCATTGCACAACTGGAATGTAACACTAATCATGGCCGATAAGCATGGTCCTCTGGTACCGTCACCACTGTTGCTGTGCCAGTGTCTCCAGAATGGCACCCAGAAACACCCATTCCTCCTGAAAACCATCATCACAGAAGATAATTGCATTGCATAGTACCATAAATGTTTGTGTGTATCTACTTAAGCTAAATGAGATAAGAGACAGGTGACTGAGGCAGCAGTGGGCAAACTGTTTAGCTTCAACCACTACTCTTACACTATCATTATACTTATATTGTTATGGTTGGGTACTCTGACAAAAAAACTATACTTTATATCTGACCCTTGTCACTAAATTAAGATTAATTCAGATTTAAATTGACCTTTCAACCCCACTCAGCCCCTGTAGGCATCAAAAGGCCACAGTCTGCCTCTGTTGCAGTTATGAAAAAATATAGCAAAATCAACAGTTTTCATCAGTTATGATTGTGACCAGACAGTAGCACAATATTTAAACTGTGTTTTAGCCACATAGAACTGGCAGAAACACACAAAAACATCTACAGAAAGAGCTGAGAATCATTTCTTCTGCAGGAGCAGTGAAACAAGTTTCTATGACAAGACTGAAAATTAGTTTCTGCTCTGAAAGCTTGTAATAATTGAAATCCACAGTAATCAAATTCAAGCTGATCACAGCAGATGTTCACATTGCACCTTTCTACACTCATGTTTCAGGCCAAGAGGGGCTGAGTGTATGATACTGAAATGATTAATTATTATGAATTATTAATGAGCATTAAATACAACTTTAGTAAATCAAGAGCAGTTAAGGACAGGGATTGAACAAGGCCTTTGGGAAAAACAGAACAAAACCATTGCATAAGAACGTTTAACCTTAAAACTGCTCATAATCTCAAACAAACAAACTTTAAGCTCTAAACAACAATTAGATGTAACAGCGATAAAAAGTTACTTAAAAGGTGCAGTGGTCTGGTTCACTGACACACACCAGACAATGTATACTGCTTACATTTTTCAGAAAAGTGGAAATTCGTAGTATCTATAAACCACAGTTGGGACTTTTCAAATGGAGACTGGAATTAATCAAATATTGGAAAAAAAATGTTTCCAATAATGTGATGAACAATCAGATGTGCTTCAGTTGTTTGGGGATCAAGAGCCGACCCACGAAAGACAGAAACATCATCATTTCATTTTTTTGACTAAAAGTGCACTCGCGTTCATTCCACCCCCTCCTATCGTTTCTTTAGTTTGTTTATAGTTTAAGTTTTAGATTCACCGCCGTGACCTGTCGGTAAGAAACAAGTATCAACTGATTCTCACTTTGGAAAAGTAGGAATTGCAGATGCCATTGACACAGGTAACAGACAACCTTGATAATGTATGGACAGCGTTGAGGCTGAGAAGAATATACATTATTTGCATACAGGATAAAAACATAGAAAAAAAACCTTGACTGTCTGTCATTTTTTACCCCCCCCTCCTTCTGCAAATATTTAAAGATGACGACTAGAATTTGGCCTCATCTTGCTTCAGTGTCACGTTGTACAGTTCTCGCTGTACCATTCCTGCACAATGTCGCTCATCCCCAATGATGAATGGCAACAAATTCTGTAAGTAAACAAAACAACGCCACATCTTTTCACGTATTACTGAAGCTGGTGTTAGATACTGAGTGCATGAAGAGCATGAAGACATGTGAATGGCATGAGAGAAGATCACAGTAATAAACGTGCAGGCAGAAATACTGCCAACGCCTACACACCCTCTCTGCTCAACTGATCCTGGTTGTTCTCTGCACTACCAACAGTGGTGCTGAGGAAAGCTTGAGGCAGGTAAGTAACACTAGATTAGATGCCAAAGCACAGTAACCTCTGCCAGTGTTTAAGAGGAGGTAGGATTCAAGCTGCCCAGTCATGTCCAGCGGCATCTTTTCCTCTGACAGGCTTCAGGGTCGGACGTGCAACCCTCCGAGTCACTCTCAGAAGAGGACGGTCCAGCCAAGGGAGGGACAGACAATTGTGAGGAGGGCTCAGGCCCATCTGGGGTTTCTTCTATGGCGCCACTATTGAGACTGAGCACCCAACCCAGTTTATTGTGCAGCAACTGACGAAGGCCTGGGGGCAGCGGCAACACGTCCAGGGTGTCTATACAGTCTGGCAGCAGCTGCCGAAGGCGAGCACAGCAAAGGTAGAGCAGGGAGGTGGGGGCAGAGCAGGACCTGATCACCTTCATGCTGCTTTTGGCTGCTGTGGAGCACGCCATCGGATAAAACCTCTTATTTTGGAGCTCTGTGGCAGCAACACCTAGATCAACAAGGGTGACAAAAATGTATTATCATGATTAATATCTTGTTCCAACACTGAACTCTTCAGAATCCCCATAAAATAAATGCACACCCCATTGTGTCTGAAAGGTCATAACAGAAATGCTTCAAATGCAACTGTTAGATTTGTAAATTTGTACAATGAACCAATTCCAGACGCCTGATTGATATTGTCTGGACCTGATTCACATAAAATAGATTCATTTAAAAACTCTGTTTCCATATGTCAGTTACAGTCATTGCTAACCACGGACTCAGTTGTCGTAATCCCTGGCCAACATGTGGTAGCCAGTAAGAGTTTAAAAATAGATCTCAAAAAGAATGCACATCTAGGAAACTGATATCAATGAGTCTGTGGAATTTGGTGGGATCAAAAGTGTCAGTACAAACCTATACACTTTCGATTCTTGAAGAAAGTAAGTGTGCCATGCCACGTGTCCAGGTGGACTCCGATGATGGACCCCTGTCCGAACCGTGAAGAAAAATTAATCTTGTCTCCTTTATGATGCAGCAAGCCTGTAACGAGAGACAGCAAATGATGTCCAACTCATATTGTGACCAGTTACTGCTACATCACAATGTTGTGTTGGTCTTACCTGTGTAAGAGAGACCCCAACTGTCTGCATCTTTTCCCAACAGGCTGCAGAAGGTGTGTCTGTATTTGTCGAGGTTGACATCAGAAGCACCTATGCCAACCATCTGTTCATAAAGAACGAAGAAGAATTCATGAAGCCTTTGTTTTGAACAATCTTTTATAAAAGCAGGTCAACGTAAGGAGGTAAGAAATCAGATGTTTACCATGTCGGTTCCATACACTGGTGATGTCATCTTGATTTCCCAGAAGTGCTGTCCTTCAACCAGCTCTTTGGAGCCACGGATCGCAGCTGTGCCACAGCTGTATTCAGAGTGGAAGTTCACTTTGCGATTGTCACAGCTCAGTAATGTTGCTGTCGACCGGTTGTTTGAGTCCCACACCCAGTCAAATTCTAAAAAACAGAAGTCGCTAATTTCAGGTAAATGTGAAAATAAAACGTTTACTTTACCCTAATATTGCCTGACAAGCAAAATATTATTTTCATGATTGATGTGTGAACTGTGTGATCAAAAAAATATAACACGACACCATATACTGGTGTAGCCTGAAATAAACCTGGATTGATTGATTGCTTCCTACACTAGTTCAACCCTTAAAATGCAGCAGCAGTCTTGTACCTTGGTCATCCTCTCCACAGTGACAGTCTTTTACTTGGTGAAACCCTCGCAGACGAGGGTTGTAGCTGGTCTCAGCCTGGGAATCGCAGCCACAGTAGGACTCTCCGGTGACCGGCACGGCGCTGGGGACTGGAGGGACCATCACTGCTGAAAAATCTGTCTCAGAGTCTGAGTCACTAAACTTGGGAGCAAGTATGCAGAAAAAGAAATGGCGAAATCCTATGTCAGCAACATTGCATTGCTGATTATAGATTTTATGCTTTTACATAGAAATTGCTTTCTGCACAGAAAAACACGTGCTTTTACATGTTGAAAGTTAAAGGCCATGATTCTGGTGAATTCCCTTCCGTGGAAAAATTATTATCTCTAAAACAAAGCATGTAAACAGCTCAACGTTTAGCTTCAAGCATCAGACATTGGCAACAACAAACATACATGATCTCTGACACTTCATATCTTTTCGAGTGCGGTGTGCTTACCTCTAGGCGGCCACAGCTCCATTCTTCGCTTTCAGAGGCCAACACGAGAGCCCGGGCATCAGCGTCCCGCCGTATCCCACCCCAAACGTATCTCCACGCACGACTGTTCCTGCTTCGTCTGGACATGGCAGTAACTCTCTGTCTCAGTTGTAGAAGGACCTGACAGTCAGACCAGGTTTATTCCAGATGTTGGATGAACAGCATCAGTTCAGCTGCTGGAAGACAAAATGACAACATGATGGTGTGAGAGAGGCACGGACACTGAAAACTTCTGTAACAGATCACCTGAGCAGATTTTTATTTGATGTGATTTTTTTTAAACATAAAAAATCTATAAAGGAAAAAAAAGAACAACAAATACTAAATGAAAGGAAACATTCATCACATGAATCCTCCTCCTCCCCAGTGATTAACACACAAACACACATGTAATGACACATCTTGGTGGTTTCGTTCAGTTGTCGTGGTTCCTTGTTTGTTTCAGGCAAATGTTATTTAAAGCTCAACTTACATTTGAAAATGCTGCTGCACGTTTCCTTCTTAATTCAGTTTGTCGTGCAGCGACGTGGGGCCCTGGTTTGTGCAGCAACAGCAACACACACATCGACCTGAAAGCCTGACCGGCTGTTTTTTTTCACCTGGACACAGTTCTCATGTCATTACCTTCATCTGTGACATTTAAATCCACCTTTAACGTGCAGGGTTGTCCAACCCAGCTGTAGTTAGCCGAGGCTAGGCTAGGCTAGGCTAACGCTAGCAGCTGGAGCGTATGCATCAATATGCTAGCGGGCTTCAACAAGGTCAGAGGCGTCACAATTCAAGCCAGGCTGCTGTTTAAACGTGTGTGTACACGGCCCGGTTCACTGCTGCGTGTCGCCGACCGGTGCGTGTCAGCGGGGGGGTTGTGAGCAAAGTGCCCTGAAAAGGAAGCTCGAAGACCCGCGTAGAGCAGCTAAGTAAGTTAGCTTCCGTTAGCATGCTGCTGCTAAGGAGCGCTAGATTAAAAAAAAAAAAAAAAAAAAGGATGACGCTCACGTTACCTGCCTGATGTCCACAAGCAGCTCGAAGGTAAAAGTGTGAAGCTGCAGAGATGTTGTTCAGCGAAGGAGCCGCTCGCTACTCGGAGGATACGCGACAGTTGATGGAGCAGCAGGCGGAGCTGCGCTTCCCCATGACCTACTTATCACGAGTCCCAGCAACAACAACAACAAGCTCAGCTGCTGCTCTGAGATCAGAGTCTGCACAGGAAGTTCACACACAACATCTCCACCAGCACAGGGCAGGCTGCCTCACCCACAGGCGAGAGTTCTTTACAGACTTGACACGAGTGGAAACACAAATACAGCACTTTAAAATAAACCAACAAAGTTCTTCATTCCAAATTACACAAGAGCAAGAGTTAGTCACTAACAACACACAAGTAGAAACACAAATACAGCACTTTAAAATAAACCAACAAAGTTCTTCATTAAAAATAACACAAGTGTGAGGATTATATTCACAAACTTTACACAAGTCAAACACAACACTTTAAAATAACTTCATAAAGGTCTGCATTCAAAATGAGGCCCCATTACCTGCCACCTACTGTCGTTAGAGAGAAGAACACCTACCCCAAAACCATTTTAAGTTTCTTGACTTGAGTATTCCCATCTTGTGTTATCTATGTAGATTTAATATATTTTTATTGAGTCATTCAAACATTATTCTTTACATATTTGATCTTTTTCATTATTAACTCAAAAAATAGCAATTTATGTGATGCTTTTCTAGTCTTGATGATCACTGAAATTTCTTTAGAGTACAGATTTGCCACTCACACATCCACACACACATCCACACACACATCCATACAGTGCATCTATGAGAGTTGTCATTTTCTTGATCAGGATAATAATTCACCACAGGCTCCACAATGAAAGAACTCCTGCAGCTCTGTTCTGAATCACCAGTTTGCAGATCCTGTCCAGCACCAGGTCTGGTCTGTGTGCTGATGGTGCAGTGGCCGGGGGCGTAGTCGTTGACAACATCCTGCTTCCCAGAGCTCAGCTGCCAGTGAGCCACAGTCAGCTCGTCACACAGCGACTCTCAAATAGCGTTGAATTAAAACATTCCAGTCATGGTCTGATTTGTTTCTCTAATGTGGATTTGTGAAAAATTATAAAAACATCATCTTTTATGACAATCTTTTAAGCAGAGAAGATAATTCCGTCATATAATTAATGAACTAATCTCAAACGTATATAAAAGTGTTTATATTTCACTTACCAATTTTAAGCTTTTACATTTTGAGTAAAACACTGAAAAGTCTAAATGTGATTGGAGCTGTAAATTTACTGATCTCATTCATATCAGACATTGAATGACTTGACAAAGACGTTCTGGAGGAGGTTGAGTTTTATTTGGAAATCTGACAGGCATGGCTGAACAGTGACCTCTCACCTTTAACAAAAAAAAACAAATAAGACAGCAGCACTACAAGTAAACGATACTAGTGTTTGAGAATGTCATATTAAACATAAATCCACTTGCACTCATTATACACTCAAGTCATTCTCATACACACACGCGCACACACACATACAAACTTCAAGTCAACATGTGGACATCCTCCATTAATAATCACACTACATCCAGAGGAATTCCAAGCACTTTGAACAATTACCCACAGTGCATTTAATCTAACTATACACAGATAATTTATATGTATTTTTATGTATATAGGGTATTTTAATATTAACAGTATTCCATTTAGACAGTTTCATTGAGTCAAAATCTTCATAGCTTTCCATAAATAGTGAAAAAAATAAGTCTTGACAGCTCCTGAATCAAAAATGGTCCCAAAAAATAACATGAAAAAATAAAATACCAATGTGCACGATTTTTCAGTAGTTTCAAAACAGAGAAATACAATCAAAACCACCAACATAAAACAAAAACCAAAAGGAGGGGAATGGGCAGAGGGGTAAACATTTATACTCACACCCACAGCACAGACTGGTTACTACATTTACAGGAGTGAAGGGACTCTGGATCACTGTACAGGTTAAGATCAGACAACAAATCAGGCAGACTGTCCACACATCATCCCACAACAACCAATACATCTTCATGCCCGTACTGTACACAAAGGACCTGACACAACTGGATGGCTTTAAACAATATGGATAGATCACATCTACTGAGGACACAGCTGTCAAAGTCGACCGCCGACATGTTTCTGTTGCCATCCCATCCTGTCAGACCCGCGGGGTGTAATGGAAGTAGGTGAAAATCTCCTATTTGTTCTTGCTGCTTGGATGTGGAATGAATGAGATGGTGTTTGATGCAGACACTTTATTTTGTAGATAGGATGAGGGCCACGATGAGGCCATAGAGCCCCAGCACCTCAGCGAAGATCAGGATCAAGATCATGCCCACGAAAAGCCGGGGCTGCTGGGCGGTGCCTCGAACACCGGCGTCGCCCACGATTCCAATGGCGAACCCGGCCGCCAGACCGCTCAGGCCCACGCTGAGCCCAGCCCCGAGATGCAGGAAACTCCTGTAGGAGAGAGAGAGAAGTACCGTTAGTGTACAAGGTAATACTGACTCAAGCTTGCTGAACATGATTCTGATGATTTAATCTCCAATTTTAAATCAGGTTAACACTTGTCACAGGAGATTGTACCTGCTCATGAAAGTCACATGAGCAAGAACAGATGTTGAGGGTGAGGAGTGGAAATGAAAGAGGAACTGGTTTGAAGCTGTTTAGAAAGTTACATAATGTTGCTCTAAGAGCAGGAACATTTAAGTACATTTAAGGTCAAATGTGGCTGTTTGGACTCATACTGTGGCCATTGCCCTGATATTTCACTGTGATCTTAACTTGTCATGCACTGTATTTGTAAAATTAGCTATATTAACAGTAAACAGGACCATTTATCTTATAATATATACTTAGCATCTGATGGTGTGGTGGTTTAAATGTAGAACAGAACTTTCTTCCATGGGGTCTCACCCTCATGTAAACCCTCATGTAAAAGTGTCGCCAGCCATTTTCAGAAAACAAGTCCTTAACTTTTAGCTAGTAGCCCAGAAAAACACAGTGATGAGTCAGATGAAACAAACGCACCAAGAAGTTAAATTAAACGTTAATAGAAAAGATCCAATAGTTTTTCTCAGGAGATCAAAAGGCTAGAAAATATTAATATATAAATATGTGCTATAATATTAGTATGTCTGTAAGTGAAGGAGGTGGATGGGTTGCATGCAAACTATGTATGATATAAGAAATTAAAAGGAATAAAACTGTGCTAATCAACGTCTGTATCGGAGGCACATCTCACTTGTAAAGGGTGACTCTCTCAGAGATGTTGTTTGCTATCAGCACAGCCACCACCAGCCCGTAGATGGCAATGATACCCGCCATGACCACAGGGATGATGGACTTCATGATGAGCTCTGGCCGCATCACCGACATGGCAGCGATCCCTGTGCCACTCTTCGCTGTCCCGTACGCCGCTCCCAATGCTGAGTAAGAAAGAGGGGAGTTTTTGTTAATGCCTGATGAAACAATAAAAATATTCAACTGCTGTTTTCTCTCAACCAGATATTAACAGCCGAGGAATTCATTTCTCTATATATAAAAAACATTATGTATAAAGATGGACAACAGGACTGCGCCCTAGAAGTGATGCCAAAGCGTCTCGCTCGCCACCTGGCGGCTGGCTCATAAATCCAGGGACACGGAACAAACTGAAGAGTCAAAATACACGCAACAACGATTCTGTCATTTAATGCAGCTCCTACCACACCAATGGATGTTCAGGTTTATTTTTCTGGTTTTAATTCTTCTTTGTTGCTACATAAACAGGGTGAAATGTCATGATTGACAGCTTAGACTGACTCATGATTGTGTGAGTAACACAAAGTATCTTGTTTTGTTCAGTATAATGTTTCATTTTCAGGTCACACAGAGCACATCAGGTGTTTTATATTGTGTTTGTCCCCTGTAGTGGTTCAATCATTTCACACAGGGAAATCCCCTTCGATGGCTGACTGGTATCTAAGGAGAACTGAATGCAATCTTTCTGGGGAGCATAGATCTGCACAGGCCAATTACTGGTTATTATTCATTGCTTTGATGACAACGAGAAACCCTGAACACGAGCGTACAATGAAGACCCGTTAGAGCAAAACAATAAAATTCACACTACGAAGCTTTGAACGCTTCTCAGTTGCCACCGTGGGTGTGTTGACACATTTGAGAGTCATCGTTAATAAGCACTGTAAATAACAACCCAGTATTTCATCTAATAGTTAAACTGCTTTGCATCAGGCAAGGATATTGTTTTTATCTCTATTATCTCTATCTCGTTTTTCTTTGCAATGCACTATGGGTCAACTCTGCAATACCTATTCCCCTGGTGTCTTTAGAAGGTGGCACAGTCACAGCTGCAGCTTTACACAGGTGTACACAGATATCTTATGCTTGACTGAGTTGTCTTAAATGTTCAGTAAGGATCATATTTCCCCATCTACTTCACTAAATGTTACATCAGAGCCTCTGCTCTGTACTGAAATCTTAGACTGACTATACAGTGAGCAAACATTTATGACACTACACTAACATACATGGAGATTTCCCTGAGATATAGGCAGAGTGGATTTTGATCTAAAGCTGGAAAGCTCAAATTATTCTTTCTAACCAAGGTGTTGTACCACTTACGCCTCACTGCTCATTTTATAGATATTAAATCTATTTTATTCACTTTAACGATATATTGGAAGTAATCGACACAGCATCATTATTTAACGTTATTCAATCATATTAGACTCAAGAGCAACAGACACCTCTGGCATAAGCAATAAAAAAAGATAAGTGCAAGGAGGAAAAAAATATTAAGATTTAATTACCGACACACTGATCCAGTTGGGTGTGAGCCAGGCTGTGACCGGTCGATATCAAATTCAGATCCTTCGCCATTCTAATTTTTAGTTTGGTAGCACAGCATCATATAGAAATAAAATGGATTTCATATTTGAGCAAAAAGAGATTACTAGTATTGGATCATTACTCTGTTTCGCTGATACCCTGAGCTGAGGTCCTGCAAATGGTATTGGGAGAGAAATATTTGTATCTGTGCATCTCTAGATTAATGTTAGAACTCCAGTCTGCCACCGAACAATAATAAAAGCAAAGGTTCAATATATATCGATATATTGATTAGGCACGGTGCAAGCCTCCTGAGGTGAGACACAATTACTTAACCTCAGATTTGAAAC